AGCGGTCTGTTTGCAACAAATTTGGGTATCCTCAGAAATTAAGCTCTAACCATCCAGTTTACCTCCAATACAGTGCGCGTCAATTGTATATGCCACCCCCTGATTTTTCAGTTTTCTGACTTATTTGGAAATTTCGTAAATCGGCATAGCAACCATCGTTTTCGGCGTGTCGGAAAACTAAGAATGGTGTTGTTATGAGGCCTTCTTCCCTCTGATTCATTTTAGGACTGCTGACTTGAATCCAAAATGCCTCAAGGGTTTTCCGTGCAGATGTTTCTGATTCTTGAGCCAAGACCTTAACTGTGACTTCAAAGTCATCCCCATCATGAATTTGAACCCTGTGGGCTCCTAAAGCAGTTGATGATCGTGACCTATTCTTGCCCTCTATGTGCTCCTTTATACGTACACAGAGCGGTCTTGCCGTCTCGCCGATATACTCGTCCCCACAAGTGGAATAAGTGGTTTTGTAAACCAAATGTTGCAGTCCCCTTCCCTGCCGGTTGGACAGACTACGCAATTGGGTGTGGTACATAGACGGTCGTAAAGTCGATTGCGTACGAGGCGGTGCTTCAAGTTATGGGGTGGAATGTTCACAATGGCAACTGTATTTTCCAATCCTGACCTTCTTAAACACTTTTTTAGAGGCGCTAACTGTATCACAGACGAATGGAAGCATAAAGGGAATTTTGTTAGTCTGTGAAATACCATCGGCCCGCACATTTCCCGGTTGGAGGGCGCGGACGAATGGAAAACAGGCACAAAATAGCGTCCAGCGCCTTAAGATGGCGATGGTTCGATGGTCGCTTGGAATCACTCAACACGTTTGCAACGAAGTGATTCGACGGCACGTGGGTGTTGCGCCTATCACAGAGAAAAATGCGAGAGAGACGACTACAGTGGTATGGCCACGTCATACGAGCTGCTCCTGATACCGTCGCTGCCACTGCATACCGATTTGAAGTTGACGGCAAACGACCGCGTGGGAGACCAAGGCAGCGGTGGCAAGATTCGATCAACAAGGAGAACAAAGTGGCGCTCTCCGATTTAAACAGCACACCTTGCTCCAGTGGGACAACGTTAAGAAGACGAACATTTCCGTAGGCATTACACCGAATCACCTCTGTAAGCAAATTTACGCTAGTTTTTAAGATGTACACAGTTACGCTGCGGAGATATTCTACGTAATATCGGCTTATCTACTAAAATTAAGGTATTGTAGAAAGCTTGAAATTGAACAAAATAATATAAGGCAGATTGGAGAATATTAGGCAGATACAATGCTTTATTGATAAACTCCTGGGGTCAATGAAAGCCTCAAGAAGGTTAAGGTATGGAATCAGTCAATGAATACACTGTATACTCGGACAACTTCAGCCATTCTTTAAATTTGACGAGTTTCTCGTCCGTATTCCTAATTCCACCAAAGTATCCCTACCCTTTCCCATAATGTTTCGATGGCGCTCAGGGCATGTGTGTGAATTGTTCCTTCGTTGAAAGCGCGCCATGCTGTCGAAACCACTCCTTCACAGTAGAGGTGCGATGCTTTTGGTCGCTCTATTGCTAGAAGTCGAAGTAGTACCGTACAAGAGCCGGACTTTTGGATACACAACATCTTTTAGAACCTAACTGTATAACCGCCTTTATCTGATTGCAAATTCTTGGAACTTATCGGCGGTGAACTGGTGACGGTGAGACGTACATGGTACTTGACTGGTCGGTTTCTCCTAGTGGAAACAGACTTAGCGCCAGTTACCGGTTTGGATGATACCGACTGGAACTCTCATTTCGTAAGCCATAATTAAGGTTCATATTGCAAATCGAGAAGAAGTAATATTCTTGGTTTTTTACATTGTGAGCACATAAATAATCATTAAGCGAAATTTGGAAGCTATCCGATCACAAACTAAGAAACTAAAAGCTTTGAAAATTGGCCAGCTTCTTAGTTTTTGCCTTATGTCGAAACAATTCCAAAATTCATAGTTATGCCGAAAAAGTTTATAATCTTGCATAAATTCTGCACTTGCCGTATCTTTTATCCGTATCATCCATCTGGATTGCATAATCTCAAACATCCAGGATGCATGTGTTGCCTGCGCGCACCAGGAAATGATAACTAGTCAGGAGAAGCAAATGCTCATTTCATGAATCAGACTGCACCTTCGCACATGAAGGATATTAATCTGTGATTGCGCTCGAGTATCTACCAAAAAGTGGTCCTGCCACCTACATATTTTCTTAAAGCAGGCTCGAATCTCTTTTTAGTGCAAGACATGGCCTAGTCGCAAAGCTTTAGAAGTAAATATAGTGGTCTCCAATTTTTTTTAGATTCTTTCGTAAGTATATAGTTTCAATTTCTCGATGAGTGGCTTACCTTTTCATGGTTTATCGTTGCAGGCTGTGCTGGCTGCACTTACTGCGTATTCGGTATTTTTCACCGATATTCCACTCGGCCATGACACAACACACATAAGTCACGCGTTCGATTTGGTAATTTATTTTTCTACATTTACAGCGCAGAACTCAAAATGACCTAGAAATTTTTCAGACTCTCGCATACCAGCGAATTTTCTTCGGTTTGGCGTTAACGTTGCGAAGCGAGATGTTCCGCAGATTGATGAAACGAAAAACGCGAGTGTCTCGAATGATGGATCGCCAAAACGCATCCAATTATTTTGATGGGCTCAAAACAATGTGGTCTTAATGTGATGATGGTTATAATAAAGGAGAGCTTTTCGCGTGCTAAAACTCAAACGCTGGCTGCACATAACCCTTTGAATTGATGGTGGCGATTGCCACCGTCAAAGACTGATGAAGAATTGATGGT